TAGACCCTCTCAGCCTTAGTATACTCTCTCTCTCTCTCTCTCTCTTTCTTTCTCAGTTCTCCCGCCCACTTGCCTCCCTACTCCCACTCCTTCCCCTCCCGCTCCCCGCCCCCTTTTCTCCCGTCTCCCACCCCATCCTCTCTTGTCTCGTGTCCCCCCTTCTCCCGTACCACCGCCCCTGTACCCCCTCTTCTACGAGTCATTGGTCCTACGGTTAATAGTATAGGGGTAGAGAGAGAATGCAAAATGAACTGTATTTAAAAAAAAAATTCATTTAATTTGTATTTATTTATATTAAAATTGTTATTATATACTTAAATAACATTAAATTGAAGACAAAATTAAAGACAAAAACACGCGTGTGTGCCCGCGTGTGTGCCTGCGTGCACCGTAGGACCAACGACCCGTAGGACACAAGCGAGTGTTGCACATGTTGTATACATAAGATCAGGAGTGTATAATAGGGTTAATCCCTATTATACACTCCTGATAAGATCAACCAATGAGCTATTTACCAATTACTACTACTACGTTACTAACCAGTGTTCTTGTTATCTCTCATATCTAGCATGTGCTAATCATCATCATCACTCTCTCACTCTCTCTCTCTCTCTGCGTTGCTGTTCTAACTAGCGCAGTGTACAACAAGTGTGTACGAGACGCGTGCATGGTGGAAGAGTTGATAACAGCATACGTGGAGTGTAGGAAAATCGCATAAGCACTTTTACGCGTGCTGAACCAGCAGTGCAGTATCTTATACACAGACGTTGTGAATGTGACTATGCAAAATGAGTGAGATTGACAATCACATTCAGAATCTGGCAAAGATTTGTCGACTGTGCCACGTGAAAAAGGCTACAAGAGAGAAGCGTGTCTGGAAAAAAGTTGAGGAATATGCTGATATACTCCAAACTTCATTTGCTATTGATGTAAGTTTGGATGATGAAGCTACTCACCCGAAATCTGTCTGTGAAAAATGCAGGCTAAAACTGCGCTACATAAAACGTGCTGGTGGTAGCAGCGTGGCGACTACATTTGATATCAAAACGTACAGCCCACACGACAGTTTAAATTGTGATATATGCAAGAAACAGGAGCAAGAAGGACGTGGACAAAAGCGACCTAGAACGAAGCATGAACAAAGTAAGAATGTTATCAAGTGTGTAGATTATTTAACTGATATTGATAATATAGTACACTCACTGAACATCGGTTTTAATACACCCTAGCTCTGCGCTCCGCCACAGGCCACAGGTCGTGGCGGAGCACAGGACGACTGTAGTTCTACAGCTAACTAGACACGGTCAGCGACTCATAGGTCACTGACCCATTGTGGTGGAAACCGAGCTACCCTGTCCCTTTTCATTACTAAGTTCTACATTACATTTTGGATATTAAGTTTTCTTCGCCTGATTGGGTGTTGGCTTTATTACATTAAAAACTTGGGTATGTATTGTGTTTTAACCGATGAAATATGAAAATGTTTTAACTTTAATTGAAATTATGGGTTTTTTTCTAGAATCAGACATTCCGCTATCCTAAATAGTGTCCACGCAATGCTATAAAAACACCAAACAATAACATCATTAACCTTATTATTGGATCAAGGATAGCTTGGAATGCTATGGTATCGCTTTAATTAGTAACTGTTATTGGGAGTTTCTTATCGCAAAACTGGATATTGGAATTATTTTGGGACTTCCCGCGTGGGGAAGTCTTTCCCTTGGGTTCCGCCATGGGATTTTTTAAAGAGGGGGTGTACTACTAGTCTAGTATAAAAAAAGCGCCGTGGCTGCGCGAACGCGGTTCCGGACGAGGAGCCCCGCTGAGGCTAACGCGTCAGGCATCTATCTCACACAGTGATCTTCGCGAACACGTCACGCATGAATTGCGGGCAAACGGGACGCTCTGCTGATTGCCGAGTGTGTGTGTGTCGTGTGCGTGAGAGAGAAGAGAGAGAGACGAGAGAGAGAGAGGGAATGTGTATGTGTGTATGTATGCGTGAGCAGAGAGGAGAGAGAGAGAGCTAGGGTGTGTGTGTGTGTGTGTGTGTGAGAGAGAGAGCTGTGCGTGTGTGTTGTACAGAGTAGAGAGAGAGAGAAGAGAGAGAGAGAGAGAGAGAGAGAAGAGACGGAGAGAGAGAGAGAGAGAGAGATGAGAGAGAGAGAGAGAGCGAGAGCGAGAGAGAGAGAGAGAGACAAAGAAGAGAGAGAAAGAGAGAGAGAAGAGAGAGAGCAGAGGAGAAGGAGAGAGAAGAAGAGATGAAGCAAGAGAAGAGAGAGAGTCGAAAGAGGACGATGAACGGATAGACGGCAGCAGTGCATATATTCAAGAGTACATAATAGAGATAATTATATTATGTACTCTGATAGTATTGTAAATTTACGCAATCAGCAAGCTCCCTTGCGGCAATCAATGCTTGTACGCAGTCGCGCGATCAAGCAACCGCATCCGCGGACATCCACTTCACACAGTGATCGCGCGAACTTGCGTACACGCCTCCGCACACACACACTGATTGCAGCAACGGACGGGGATCTGCTGATTTGCCGTAAATATGCAGATATATGCATTGCTTGCTGTCCCTAATCCTTTCATCCGTTCCTCTCATTCCGCTCTCTTCTCTCTCTCTCTCTTCTCTCTCTTCTCTCTCTCTCCTCTCTCTCCCTCGATCCTCTCTCTCTCTCTCGTCATCACTCCCCACTTCTCCCACTCTCCAGTCGCTTTTCTCTCTCTCTCCCTCCTCTTCTCTCTCCTCTCCTCCCTCTTCCTCCCGTCTCCTCTCACTCGCCATCCTCCACGCTCGCTCTCTCTCTCATCTCTCTCCTCCTCCGACCA